CACACATTATGTGTGACAAATCAAATATCATCCAATATTATAGCATCATATACAATATATATTAGACCCCCTATAGCTCACCCTGTACATATGAGACTTTCAGCTGTTTTGTGTGTGTGTTCAGAATTGCTTTCATTTTCTAGACCCCCCCCCCCCCCTGTAACATTATATTCTTGTTGTCTTTCTGTAAAGCTCTGCCTTTATAAATATCTGGTATGCACAAGTCCACTTGGTTAAGGATTTATAATTCAGAAATAACAATTTTCTTTAAAGGGTGGCTGGATCAATTTAAGCTTTCTTATGAACTATCAGGCTGCATAATACTATGTAGCACTTACCATTAAAAGAAATATGGGTAAGGTACAAGTACTTTAAAGACATCACCGGGACCAGATGGGCAGTGGTTCTTGCTTTTTCAGAATTCTCGCAAGAGTATGACATACACACGGACTTTTGTTGTTTAACAATTAGAATTGTAAGATGTCTTACCTTACTTTGTTTCAAAATGGATGAGGTAACTTGGAATCAATCTATGTTTTGTGGGCTTGTTTGTTGGCATCTCTATTTTGCACCATAACCCATTTTTGTTTTTGATTGAGTAAAAAGGCGTTTAAAAAAGAAATAGCTAAATCAGCTGAGAACCATGAACTTGTAACACAGGCATGTTCATAATTTTATACAGTCTTCATTACAAAACAGTTTTTGTGTGTGAATCTTCCCAGGAAATTCCACAGATCCTAAGATAGCCATTGTGCAGCCAAATAAAGGAGAGCTACTTCCTTGAAAATTCTTAAGAATAGGATATTTTGTGATACTGAGAAGCTTGGGAGAATCTTGCTGAAGTATGGTTTGCTAGTACAAAACAGTAGAAATTGATTGAAATCTACCACATGTGAGCTGATATTACTGCAAAGAATACCCCCCCCAAAAATTATTGTGCTAGTTGTATGGTATTCCACATGTTTAGTCTGCTGAGGTGAGCTATAAAAGTAGAAGGAGAGGTGGATGGCTGCAGATTGAAACCTCAGTCCAACTGTTTCTGATTTGTCCTTTGGTCTTTGACTTATCTTATATTGTCATTGTTTTATATGCTTATGTATTTGTGTACTTTATGTGCATTGCACTTTGGCATGCTTTTGTGAGCTGCCTTGGGGAGATGGTGGCGGGATATAAACTATTATTATTATTATTATTATTATTATTATTATCTATACTAAGTCAGGTGATTTGAAATGGTAACTCTACTTTTGTTCAAACAAGACATTCAAGTTGATTTGTGGCCCCAGGTACATGGAATGCTGCTTAAGTAGCTTTATTAGAAAGAAGAATACATAGATTGCATCCTCACTTTGGAAAATGTATGTATTATAAAGTGGCATAGGGTTTAAAATGTTTTGTAAATTGCCAAAGATTTTTCATCTCGCTGTTTCTCCAGATAGTATATAGTTTGTCTTGATTTCCTCTGTTTCTTCCACACATTGGTGCCTTGAGCTGAGCATTACAGGTCCAGCAAGGTCACTCAGTGAGTTTCATAGTTAAGCCAATATTTGAACTTTGTCCTCTTCTGTTAATGTAATTTTAATCTTGTACCAAACTAACTTGCTATTATCATTATTTAAATTTTTCCTGCAATCCACTTGTATACTCATGCATGCCTAACTAGTGCATTTGGAGTGTACTATGACAGAGAAAAGAGGCAGGATCAGTTTGGACCTTTGTTTGCTCTACTAGATAGTACAAGTACAGCGAACCCACCATACCTGTTGACTTAACCAACAGTGGCTCCATTCTTTTTAAATACAAGGATGTAGTGGTTGGTAGTGGCATCGGATGTTACTGCTCATTTGTTTGTGTGTCCTGTGGAAGCTGTTTGCTATCCTCTGATTGACGGCTGAAGCAAGCAGCTTCTTCAGGGACACTCCCAATTGAGAATGAATGAACCAATAGCGCCAACGTGTAGCTCCCTTTCCTGCTTTACTCCAAGAAGAAATGATCCAGAGAAGAGGAGGAGAGCAGAAGAATTGGGTGAGAATGTGAATCTTGGAAATACGGCTCGGGTATCTTTGTGGAATGTAAGAAGCGAGTGGTGCTGCTGGCAGGAGAAGATACAGAGAGGTGCCAGGGAACAGAAAGAATGGAGTGATGAGACTTGGAAATGTTGCTGGGGCATCTTGGTGGAATGTGGGAAGACTTAAGGCCAATCTCTGTATCCCTGAAGAAGCTGCTCACTGCTGCCAATTGCAGAGTGGCAAGGTGAATGAATGAGCAGAAGTACCATTGTCTATGATGCCCTGTCCCCAGTGATCAGGATTTGTTGTGCTGCCTCCACTGTTGTCCTTCACCCAAGTTCACATTAGGAATTTTTTTTAATTTATAATAGTTTTTATTAAGGTTTTAAAAATAACATCAAAAGAGGGAGAATATTAAAAAGATGATAGGAAAGTAGGAAAAAAGTAAGAAATACATCCCCCTACCCCCAAGTCCACCAAAAAAATACAAAAATATAAAAGCCACACAAAATAAAYAAAGGGGYAAAAAAAYGAYAYAYAGAGAYAAAAAYGTATAAAATAAAAATTGACTTCCATCTCTCCATCAGGTGTTGTGTCCTCAATGATYTTTCCATTATATCCACTTCATAYTATTCCTCTTATTTATTTATTTATTTCCTTTTCGTAATTTTCATATAGAGTCCAATCTGTCCTCTTTATCGGGTTCCCGGTATTCTTTTTCAAGAAAAAAGTTAATTCCTCCATTTCTCTTATTTCTCTTAATTTCCCTAACCACTCTTCAGTGGTAGGGATATTTTCCTGTTTCCAAAACTTCGCCAGTAATATTCTCGCCGCTGTTGTAGCATAGGTAAATTGAATAAATTTAGACTTTGGGCCATTTGGTGCATATATATTACATACTAGTATTTTTAAATTTCCCAGTTGAATTTTTACCGCCACACATCTTCCTTCCAAATCCTTGAATGCCAATTCTGGTGTTAAATTTTCCTTTATATATGTTACCACACCCTTCTTTTTTTCATCCGATGAATAAAATGTCTTTCCCAATTTTTTATTTTCTAAATGAGCCACATGTTTGTGGCAAATATGCGTTTCTTGTAGCAGGATGATATCCCAATTTGCTTTCTGTAATTTATTCCACACTTTTTTGCGTTTCTGGGGTAAGTTACATTAGGAATTTTTTCAATCAAAGATTGTTAAAAAAAAACATTAGGAATTTTTTTAACAATCTTAGGGTTTGAAATTTGGGGCAGGGTAATGAAGCTGGGGGAGTCAAACTGCCATGTTTTGTGGCAGCACGAATGTTTCCCCATGCTTTTAGTGCCTAGGGCTTGTGGGGCTGGCAAAATAGGCATTGGAGGGGCCATACATCTCTTGTGCATTGCACTTTCCCCATCTCAGGGTTAGGAGGAAGACAATGACAAGTTCAGGAATATGGGAAATAAACCCTATGGGATAGGTGATATCTTCAGCAGAAACCTGTTGCAAGCTATTGCAGAAAACTAACTGATAAGTAGAGTTTCAATACAAAAAAAATAATCTATTTAAGTTAGAAATTTTCATACATTTATCTCTGGCATCTTGCTTTTTAGTTTCTTACTCAAAAGACATATAATGGCAAAAAGTTAAAGTCTTTTCTATTCTTTGTGTATTACAGATAAACAAACTTTTCCTAACCAGTTTCTTGGTTTCATCTGCCTTTTAAAATAAGACATTGTTTATCCTGAGATCAAATATTTTCATTCTCCTAGACTTCTACATTTTGGCCACAAACCACTATGGAATCAAAACTCTTCAAGCATGCACACAGCTTAAATGTGCTTAAATCCTCCTTGCATTAGTGCCAACATAGTCCTTTTAAAAAACATTGTTTTTAAGTGTTGTAGAATTCAAAGATTAGCTCGCATTTTGATTTATTGTTATGACAGCCGGCCGGCAGGTTCGACTGCATTTTAGAAATTTTATAATTTTCAATTTTTTATAATTTTATTAATGATATTTGTATGCGCTGTTGATTCTACTTATGTCATTGTATTTATACTTATGTATTTTTGTCTGCATGTGGCACTTGGAGTGTCCCTTTGGGGAGATCGTGGCAGAGTACAAATAAATATCATCATCATCACCACCACCACCATCATTATTATAGTCTTAGCCTTCGAAAGCAGACTCTACCTATTTCATTCTATCAGTCTTTGAAGTGCTACAAGATCTCTTTACAAACCATTTAAATGGGTGTACTAGTAACCCATTTACATTTTTTAATAAGTAACTTCTATACCTTCCTCCTTTTTGTTCAGAGAAAATTTAAATATTTGTTCCGGGAAGATTTAAATTCAGACCTGTATAATAGGTGTTTTTGTGTTTTGGGGAAGAATGTATAAGACTAGTGGGACAGATGTAAAGTTAACTGTAGAACTGTAATAGTAGCTTACAATATTTGAAAAACAAACTCATGGTGTCTGGATTTCAGTTTGTATATGTGCATTATGAAATTTGTGTAATAAATTCCCTCAAATATTTTGTGCGCCAGTGTTATAGAAGCATGTTTGTGATTTGCTTGTGAGCATGTAACTTGCATGTTCATCAAACATTAACTCTAACTATAAATTCTTTGTATTGCATTAAAAACATAAGGTTACTCCTGATAAGGAATAAGACCAGGTTACTTTGTAGAATCCATGCAGTATCCAAATTGTACCTAAATTGCAGCTTATTTGTTCCTTAGTGTTCATCTCTTAATGATTGTAGCAAAGCAGAATCAGAAGGGTAGAGTAACTTGGCTATGTATTCAATAATTTTTAGTTTTTAGTTAATTGAAAATCATTCATTAGAGCTTTGTGGTGTGTTAAAAGGTAATGGATATTATGGGAAGGTGTTTTTCAGTGGCATGCAATAAGTGGCAACATTTGAGACCAAACATAGCTTCTATGCACACTGTCTCTTGGCTAAAGAGTTGCAGTGATCTAAAAGTATCTTTCTTTTTTTTAGGATTGTAAAAGATGGTGGATCGCTTGGCAAACAGTGAAGCAAATACAAGGCGAATAAGCATAGTGGAAAACTGTTTTGGTGCTGCTGGACAGCCTTTAACTATTCCTGGCCGTGTACTGATTGGTGAAGGAGTACTAACAAAGCTGTGTAGGAAGAAGCCCAAAGCACGGCAGTTCTTTTTATTCAATGATATCCTTGTTTATGGTAACATTGTTATCCAGAAGAAGAAATACAATAAACAGCACATAATTCCCCTGGAAAATGTAACTATTGAGTCCATCCAGGATGAAGGGGATCTCCGGAATGGATGGCTTATCAAGACCCCGACTAAATCTTTCGCTGTGTATGCTGCCACTGCCACAGAAAAATCTGAATGGATGAACCACATAAACAAATGTGTCTCTGATTTGCTTTCTAAAAGTGGGAAGACTCCCAGTAATGAACATGCAGCTGTCTGGGTACCTGATTCTGAAGCTACTATTTGTATGCGTTGCCAGAAAGCAAAATTTACTCCTGTCAATCGTCGACACCACTGCCGAAAATGTGGGTTTGTTGTCTGTGGGCCTTGTTCTGAAAAGAGGTTTCTTATTCCCAGTCAATCTTCCAAACCTGTGCGAATCTGCGACTTCTGCTATGACCTCCTTTCCACAGGAGAGATGGCTACATGCCAGTCCGCAAGATCAGACTCTTACAGTCCATCACTGAAGCCTCCTTTAAATGATATATCAGATGATGACGACGACGATGACAGCAGCGACTAAGCCGTGAAAAAGAGTATTTTCATGTTGCAACTGGTATCTGAACTTGAATTGCTGTATGAGGAAACCTCTCGTAACAGGTTCTTTTGAGAGAGGCCAGCCTAGCCATAAAACTTGCCTGAAAAACCTTCAGCTCAAATGTGCCTCAATATGAGAATATCTTATATCTATCATTACTTTTTTTCTCCAGGGACAAGACAGTTGTGAATTTATCATTTCCCAGCTTTGTATACTTGATTTCCTACCTAGGTGTGAGTTAATCATCTTTCCCTTCCCCCATCTTCCCCACGAAGCAATTGAAAAATCAAGCACAAATTGTGTTTTCTTTTTCTACCAACAAACAATCCCTTTTTGTTTGTCAATGTTATCTTATGGTTTACTTTTCATATTAAGATGAAACTAAGCCTGCTCAAAACTGTGGTATTTTGGTTAGCACATTAAATAGGACATCTTAACAAGACTTTTGAAACTGATGTTATATGATGACCCTTTGTAAAATAAATGCATACTGTAATGTCATTAACATTTTAAAATATTATGCAAGATGTCATACACCAAGCAGTGCCTTGTAATGACTGCACTGTTGCAGGAAGAAACTAACGTGTTTTACCCTCTGGCATGCAGCAGACTAAGAAATATTTGGTGCTATTGACAATAATTGTTGTTGTCCCTTGCACAAAAAAAAATCATTAGGATGTTGGATAAAAACAGATACAGTACTGTTGTGAAGTCCCTATTATGAGCTCCCATAAATGTGGTTCATCCACAACAGGAAAGAAACTTCTGGAATTAGTGACTTGTAAGAAAGTAGATCACTTTCAAATAGTTCTGATATTTTGTGACTTTCAAAATTAAGTGTTTATAGTTATCAGGTATTGGTGATTGAAAACTGTATTGCTTTGGACCATGGTATGTATTGTAATGTTTTTGATTTCATATTTATAAAACCTAATTTGTTGGATATGTCACTAATTTTTTAAACTTGAGGAATGGGTTTTTAAAAATAACCAGAATGTGTTTTTGAAGCACAACATGAAAAAAATGTCCCAGTCATCCAGCCGAAAAATATGCTTTCAAAACGTCCATCCTCTGTACACAGCTGACCTCGAGATAGAAATGAACTGCAGATGACTTCATTTAAAATATATAAATCCAGGAGCAGGACAAATAATGCAAAATGTGTTTCCAATAAAGTATTTACTTTTTACTGTTAACAACATTCTTTTCTATGATGATGTCAATTTTAGAGAATTATCAATTTAGCTCTGTGAAGTTTTGTAAAACCTTGCCTGAGACATATCTATATTTTTATATAACTGTAGTATATTCAATCAGTTTATGTTCAGTTCCCTGAGATAACTGTGCAGGAAGTCGGGAATTAGTACCTGAAAATTTATAAAAAGTGTTGAATGTTGTTTGTACAAAAAAAGGAATAGTATATAGACAGTTTCTGCACTGTGTGCCTCATCAGGCAGTAGTTTGGGTCTATTTATTGAATAAACAATAATTTCTGCATCTTGCACTAGTATCCCAGTCCGTAATTTGGCTGCTGTAGTACAGATGTCAGTGTTGGAAAAAAAGTGAGGTGATTGTATCGGTGATGTGGAACAATTTTCATTTACTTTGAGTGTATGTTGGGAAAGGTTTTGTACAGATTGTGCAGCAACAGCGCCCAACAGATTATGCCTGTTCAGAGCAGTAGGACATACATTCAGCAATTATTTACCAGCTAGATTAGTCAATTGCTGAATGTTAAGTCAACACTTATTAAAATCTTCTTTAGCTGGAACTAACAACTAGATTTACATCTGGCTTTCCAGCTGATATTCAAATACCTGGACAGTGGTAACATCGGAGAGACTGCAGTTAGTTTGCATGGCAGTTCAGAGAGGAATATGCTTGATCACATTTCACGAGAAATTCCATGAATCCACACAACTTGGTCATATGACCTGTTCAGAAAGAGCTTTTGGAAAGATAGTGTTTAAATGCGACACCTAAAATATAATCAAATATTTTCATTAGGTTGACCATCTTATGGTATGCTAGAAAATATACATAGCAGTAAACCATGGTTGAGTATTACAATAAATCTTGGGTTTTCATGCTCTCCTTTCTCCTTCAATACAGTTACGCATTGACTGGAAGGTTTATTTTTAACTTACATGAATTTCGTTTTATTTTCAAATTTTGATTAGCATGGAACATGCACGCCTGAATCTTACCGAGGATTGTTTTGATGCTAACCCATGTTTTTGGCAGTTTCTCAGAGTTTCTTTGCTTTGTTCTGCAACAGGCATAATAAACCAAGCCATAGATTATGATAACACTAAAAACCAGTGAAGCAATTGTTTGTAGTTGATGCCTGGAAATAGAGGATTTTAAAGAAAACCACAGTATGCAGTGTTTTTTGTGTTTCTTTGGAAGAAGTCCACTGAAATAATTGAGGCTTCCCATCCAAGTTAGCATTGGTGGGAGCTGGCTACAAGGGTAATCAGTTTGTTTTGCTGAAGGATTAATTTGAAGATCTCCCCTTACCCATATCACAGACATGAACTATGCTGAGGTAGTTCTTCTTTCTTCTACTTATCTTCTATTTTCAGAAGACTGAATATTCAGTATTGAATGTCATGCTTGTAATTGCTCAGTTATCTTTTAATGCTGCACAAATGCTTTGGCACTTTCTACTTGCAGGAAGATTAATTCTTCGTTTGGCAAAATTCTTTGCCTATCAACCTCTATCCCCATCATTATCTTTGAATTGAATTCACACTATAATTCAATTGATCCTTAAAGCTGTTACCAAATTGACATCATAGGACAAAATAATCCTAGGAACCAGAGTTTGGAAATAGGTTACTGCTTCTGCGGTATTGGTCTGAATTTCATTATGTAAGATAACTGTTTCTCTTCTGTATTAGTCAAACTTTTAAAAGGGCTTAATAAATGGTTTTATAACTTGCATTCATCAGGCTGAATTGTTTTCTTTGTGAATGTCAAATATACATGTTTTTTTCCTTTAACCCACATAATGTCTAAAGAAAAAGGGAGGTTTATAGTGCAGTGTTGAAAGAAAGACACCAGTTTAAGTGATGCTTAGGAATAGACCAGTAATGTAAACCTTTCCCTGGAAAGCTTTGATTCAGAATATTATAATTTTTGAAAAAAAAATTCAAACAGGATGTTCATATTTGTTCCTAAGAAGAAGTTGACTATGGGCTTGGAAAATAGCCTAGTAACATTAGTTGTTGGAGGTAAATAACTAATATGACTTGCCTTACTGTCTAGAGAATCCTATGTTTACATATATACTAGATAACTGAAAAGAAATTTAACTGAAATTATTAATTCACTGTTAAATTACTGAGATATTAATTATGGAGATGGGCCTGTATTTTTAAAAACAATATAATATAATCTGTATTGTGTGCTACGCAGTAAGTAATTTGCCTGGAAAAGAACTATCCTAGAAAGACTCTTGCTCTTAGTTTTAACATATTTCACAATGACAAATGTTCCAAAGGGGTATATGTCACGGGAATGAAGTGTAAACGTTGTAAAAACTACTTTATATCTCAGCAGTAAATAACAAAGAATATCATATAAAAACCCAACAGAAACTACAATACATTTAATGCTAGGGTTTTCTGTTGGGGAAAAAAACAGAAGTGTAATAATAGTATTTTGAAATTAGGTTTTTAAAACAAGTGCTGTGAGATAACTTAGTCAAAAATGAGTTTAGGGTACTTCTCTAAGAGAAGGGAAAACTGGAACTTGGTGGTACATTTGGTTTATTTATGTCCCACAGTGTAGCCATTATGAAGTTTGTTCCAGGCTTGAAGAGCAACATTTTTTTCTCCTCACAAAATCTTAAAAATGGTAAAGATATGAGAGAGATTTGGACACACAAATATTTGCAGGAATGGATGCAAATCACAGAATACAATTGGCCCTCCCCATTTGTGAGTGATATTTACGGATTTGATTATTTATGGATTTGATTATAATGTTCTTCCTGGGAATATCTAGGTTCTTCAGCACAACTGTGGTCAACTTCCACTGGATGCTGGAGGATGTGGAGATTCTTAGAGAGGTGTTCATTTGGGTAAAAAAATATTTTTGTTTACATTTCCCCTTCTTTTATGAGGGACTTGTGCACCTATCCCTGGTGAATGTGGCTGGATGTATTGTGCAAAATACTACCCTCTTGTCTTGAAGTCTGAGAAGAGAGTAGCAAACAGCTAGATGTTTGAAAGATGTTTGATCTCCCATTTTTATTTCTTCTGCCCTTGTCTTTAGGTTCCCAGAAGGAAACTGAAACATCTTGCACTTGGTAAAATTTCACTTGAATATCTGTCCCCGCCTTTCACTTTTCATTTTGGGATTGTAACGTAATCTACTGCACTTTACTCAAGTGTACTCAGGTACTTCCTTTGGCCTTCAGTCCCGTTTTGTTTTCTTTACTATCTTGCCTTATGGAGAGTCCTCATAAACGTGGACATTTGCACACTGTTTTGTGATCTTTAATTTGGCCCAATGAAGATGTTATGGTGATGACAATTGTATCATTTCCCTTTGGCCAACATGACTACCTTCTGTTTTTGAATCACATCTAGGTGTGTCTCCAGTCAGCTGAGCCAGAACAGAAACTGAATTTAATTAGGGATTAGGTGTGTCCTGCTAGTACAAGTCCGAGGACACAACATGTGTCTTACTTGCACAACTGAACAGTCTGTTTAGTTGGAAATACCATATTAAAAGTCTGTAGAAAGATGTTGACTTTTGTAATTAAAGCATTCATAGAATTCCTTCTCAGCAAATAGAAAGGGGATTACATTTAGTACATCTTTCATGTTCTGCCTTCATTTTGTACTGGTACCATTGATCTTCTAGGATTGTAATATATAAGGCAGGCTACTGACAAGGCTGGCTTAGGATACTGGAGGTTGTAGTCCATCACGTTCTGGAGAGCTCCAGTTTGAGGAAACCTGGTATTACAGTATAATGTTGATGTAACCAGTTCACTTCTTTAAAGCATGACAAAAGAGTCAAAACTGGGATTGCATGGTTTGATTCATGGCTACGCAAATGAATGGGTATGGCACTGGATTTCAAAAGCAGATTTTGAAGTGTCAGTCAGTTCTGGAATGTTGCTGAACATTGAATGTAACAGGATTTAACAGCCTATACTTTTATCTTTATTCCTAAATTCATTAACTGGATTTCTTAATACAGTGCAGGATTTCTTTTTCCTTTTCAGCTGTACTCTTGATCTTGTTATTGTCTCTCAGTTGGGAGTGGGAATTATGTGGTCTGCATTCAGACTGAGGGGGCTCAGTCCTGGATCTTCACAGGCCTCTATGGCTCCTGAAATCCCCTACCCATTTTTTCAGACATATATTACCTCTGTGTGGTTTGGCCCCTAAATCCTATTTCAGAGATGCCTGGACTGTGAATCAGTCAAGATCACTTTGAAAAATGACCAGAACTAACTGGAACATAATTTTCGATTTCCAAAAATTGTGGCAATGTTGCCCATGTGGGGCTAAATAGAACTAAAACAGGTACTCTTGATTCTTAACTCATGCTCACCCCTTCCCCTTGTACAAAGATATTCTCCCTCATCCCCCCCCCCCTCCATTTATTTGTTCCGTGTTTTTTTCCCCAGGACTGGGAACAAAAGTGAATCATACTCTTTAAAATGTTATACAGTTTAAAAACTTCCAAAATATATAGGATAAAATATTGCAATTATTAAAACTACTAAAGACTATTAAAAACCAATCCCCAATGCCATATAGAACTGCAGTCCTGTTCTTAAAAACTCTCTGTCTTAAAAGCCTATCTGAATAAAAAGGTTTTAATTCAAAATCCTGCGCTGCTTGGAAAAGTTGTTTGTATTTACAAAGATGATTGTAATCCAGTAGGATAGCTCTATCTACAAAAATGACAAGGGATGGGTTTTCAGACACAATACAAAACTTATTTGTTTGGCTTCCATTGAAGGTCAATGACAACATCCCCATCCAAAGCAAATGATTTTTTTTCCTATGTCAGGGGCGACTTGAGAAACTGCAAGTCACTTCTGGTGTGAGAAAATTGGCAGTTTGCAAGGACATTGCCCAGGGGACGCCTGGATGTTTGATGTTTTACCATCCTGTGAGAGGGTCTCTTATGTCCTTGTATGGGGAGCTGAAGCTGACAAAGGGAGCTTGTCCCGTTCTCCCTGGATTTGAACTACTGACCTGTCTGTTAGCAGTCCTGCCAGCACAAAGGTTTAATCCATTGCACCACTGGCAAATGATTATCTGCACTAAATTAATGATGATTCAAAACCATGTTGCTTAACAGGTTTTTTGGTGACTGGATAATTAACCAGGCATCTCCAAAATTAGTTCCTGCAACTATAATGTTTCCAGGGGACATCCAGTTCACAGCTGACATTTTATAACAAAAGGTTAATGCTAAATCTAACAGAAGGGCTGGCAAAGGGATGACCTTTACTTGTTGGAGACATTCAGATCTCTTTAGCCTGCATGACAGAGAAGAAAAACTGCAGTGGGTTAAAGGTTGAAATGATGTTGCATAGTTTCCCCTATGTTTAACAAGAGTACTAACCACATCCATTTCACTTTTGACTGACTGGGATTGGATATCATGCATGAGACAATTTGGCCAGCTCTAGGCATGTTGGAAGCCTTACCGAAAGTAAGGAAAAGGGAATAAGTTGTACATCTAAATTGTGTTTAGTTGTCCCCCTTTTAGATACTTTTAAAATTCAAACATTTTCTTGTTTCTGACATGTACACGCCAGTGTTTGGTTTAAAGACAAGTCAAAACGTCTCTTTAATGTGAGTATGCATTATGTCTGTTTTGTACAACCAAAAGGCACAATTTTGTGCTATGACTATAATTGTACCAGTTCCATTTTCCAATGAAGAAACAAGAAAACAGCAATTTATTTGTATAGAGAACAGGCAGGATTGGGGTATAATCTGGTAAAAAAATGTCCCCTTGGGGAGATAGGGTGGAATATAAACAAAGTGTTATTATTATATATTGGTGTGTGTGTGTGTGTGTGTGTATGTGTGTGTGTGACTATAATTATAAGAATCACCCAGCCAGCATTACTTCTAAAAATTCTGGGAGATGTAGTTCCCAAAAGCAATGCTTCTAAGCTTTAGGTTGGAGGAAATAAACCAAGAATCTTAGTGTCTAGAACTTGGCCGAAAACAAAACTTCTAATGCCAGATATCTCTGCTGTGGATTTGTTTCTTGCCCAGATACGTAAATCATAGGGAACTGATTTGACTGCAGTTATGTGTTCATAAACTCCTTTTGCAATCCCTACAGACAGCCTAGTTTGGGTGTGTTTGGAGTCTAGTGTCCTTTGTGTAAACAGGGAAGTCACAAGAACTTGATCCTACAAGCATTTTCTGGGGCTAAATTCCATTCTCTTTCATCAGAGAATACTGGCAAAGGACAAAATATGGAAATGTCAAGCTGTAACACTTATGGAAAGACTACAGTTTGCTACTCACTTTTTAAAAATTGTGCTATGAGATTGCTATCCTGCTTCTTGGCAGGGAGTTGGACTGGATGGCCCATGAGGTCTCTTCCAACTCCATGATTCTAGGAAGGCTTGGCCATCTTTTCTTCCCTGTAGTCAGAAATCATTGGTGTTTCCTCTGATTGGCTCAAGAGTTAGTGTGGTTTGCATCCTGGACTAAGAATCTGGAAGACTAGGGTTCAAATCCCCACTTGGTCATGGAAACTTGTTGGGTGATCTTGGGCCAGTCACATTCCCTTGGCCTTTGAGAAAGGCAATTGCAAGCCTTGCGTGAGGAAAACCTTCCAAGTAAGTTCAGTTATAGGTTTACTTTGAGCTTACCATAAGTTGGACTTGGACACACACTACAATAACAACAGATAAGTCCTCAAACCTTTTAAGCAGAGGGCCAGTT